TAGATTTAACTTCTTAATTTATTTGATTTGAGGATGATATCACTGGTTCATATTTATACTCTGCTGAAAATCAACCATCATACATGTTAAAATGAAAATGTTACTAGAATATGTGCAGATCAATTAGAAGTATGACAAATTTACAAAATTTGGACATATAGAGTAATGCAAATAACTTAATGGCTCTTATATCTATGTAACTGGATGGTACTGTTATGTTGTTAGCTATATTGTGTAAATATGTACAGTTCAGGAGCTTTTTATGTTACTAGTTCATAGTCTAGTCTAGGTGTATATATTTCGATTCTGAATCGGAGCTGAATGAGGTTTCATCTAAAGAAACCAAATTGAAAGGCTAGCCTGAACTTATAACCAATTTCTAAGATTGACAACAGACTGGAAGGCATCTGCACATGCATCAAGTACATGAAATCCATAAGAAACAAATATTTAAGGAGTGGGATTTAATGCCTATTGATAATTCATATATGATTCCATAGACTGATGATGCAATAAACATATACAAACTCAAAAGAACGCTAAAATCAATCGAAATTGTTTGTATCAGAAGATTCATCACCTTCTCCATGGATCTGAATCTGAGTTATTGTTTAATACCTTATATCTAATTATAAACGGAACAAACATAACTATTGATGTGTCATGGAAGAATAAATTATATTACCTTTCAGGTTCAAAAAATATCTCAACAAAACAATCAAATTTCAGTTATCTTGAAAACTCAATATCAGGATCCTTAACGTCAATTGCTAAGAGTTAACTCGAGCTAGACGTCTGTAGCAATGCGATTATTGTGTATTAGCTCATTTGGTTCTATAGATGTAGCGAGGTCTCCTTTTTCATTGGATGATAAACTTGGTGTATGGTAGAGGTTATATGTTTTTCCATTAAAAATCTTGTCCTTTCCTTTCGTTGTCTCTTGCTTTGTCTTCTCAAATGTTGAATGGATATTCTAAAGCATCAGAAACAAATTTCATTTGGTTCAAAGTTTTTTTTTGATGTTGCTTCATTCTTATTGCTTAGTTTAATACAGTGAAAAAACCTCAATCCCGAACCTGATAAGTTTATAATAAGTTCCTACAATCGCTCTATGTTTTAGTAGGAATATATTTGTTGTCATTTGCATATTTACATAAAATTTAGTATTTGTTATTCAAAGAATATTCTATATGCCATTAGTTGATCCTATTACAGTCTTTTACAGATTGCATAAAATATGTGATCGTCATCTTAAATGTTGAATTATCTGATCAAAAGACATTAGACAACAATATGGGTGCAGGAAGGTGCATGCTTGCCAACAAAAACAAAGATCAACAAAAGAACCATCTCTCAAGAGTTCCTTTTGCAAAACCGACCTTCACTGTTGGCGACATCAAGCGAGCCATCCCTCCCCACTGTTTTCGACGTTCCCTTGTCCGTTCCTCTTCGTATGTTGCATATGACATTGCCATAATATTTTTGTTCTATTACCTCGCCACCAACTACTTCCACCGCCTTCCTTCTCCCTTCTCCTACCTTATATGGCCCACTTATTGGATGGTTCAAGGGTGTGTGCTCACTGGGGTTTGGGTGATAGCCATGAGTGTGGTCACCATGCGTTTAGCGATCACCAATGGGTCGATGACACAGTAGGCCTTATCCTCCATTCGGCCTTACTCGTTCCCTACTTTTCTTGGAAATACAGTCGCCGCCGCCACCACCTTAACACAGCGTCACTGGAATGCGATGAAGTGTTTGTCCCCAAGCCCAAATCAAAACTCTTGTGGTACTCTAAATACCGGAATAACCCACCCGACCGTATAATAACCCTATTCACCACGCTCATTCTAGGTTGGCCCTTATACTTGACCTTTAACATTTCTGGTCGACCCTATGACCGTTTCGCATGTCACTATGCTCCTAATAGCCCGATTTTCACTAGTCGTGAAAGGCTCCAAATATGGATTTCTGATGTTGGGATTATCGTAGTTTCGTATATACTTTACCGCATGGTTCTATCCAAAAGCCTCATTTGGCTCGCTTGCATCTATGGTGTCCCGTTGCTAATTGTGAACGGGTTCCTTGTCACGATCACGTACCTTCAACACACGCACCCTTCGTTGCCACACTACGATGATTCCGAGTGGGATTGGCTGCGCGGGGCTTTGGCGACCGTTGACCGCGACTATGGTGTCCTGAATAGAGTGTTCCATAATATAACCGATACACACGTGGTGCACCATTTATTCTCTACAATGCCTCATTATCATGCCATGGAAGCAACAAAAGAGGTCAAACCATTGCTTGGGGAGTACTATCAGTTTGACTATACCCCGTTTTACATGGCGATGTGGAGGGAGGCGAAAGAGTGCCTCTATGTGGAGGCCGATGAGAAGAAAGGAGGTTTGTTTTGGTACAAGAATAAGTACTGATGAGTGTGATGGAGGTCAAGTTCGTTTATTGAAAAGACTAGCTATTTATCATGTTGTGTGTATAAGTGAACTTGGTTGTTGTGTCAGATGTTTGTGTGTGGTCTATATGTGGTTCCCTACTTGTTGTACTCGTTGATGTCGATATAAATGATTCTGGTCCATGTCCGTGGATGAGAAATCGACATGGTTGCTTTTCGTTTTGAATAGCAGTGTCGCTAGCGGCAGTGTTACATATGTGATGTTATAAAACCATCTTTTGTAAAATGCTGCTAGCGACGTCTATTACGGACATTATCTTTCTTGAAATAACATCCATATAGAACAAATAAAAGTAAATTACACTCTGTGCTCCATGTGGTTTGCTCAATTTTTTGATTTGATTTTTAAAACAAACTATTGACATTGATGGTCTCTAGCCTTTTAATTTCCAGACACTCAAAATCCTTAGTTAGCAACCATTTATGATAGACTAGTAAGTCTTTGGGCAAACTACAAGGACCAAAAGTGTAATTCACTCTAAAATTAATCGTGTTTCATGTCTTTTTTTTTTAATTTTTTTTTGTTAAAAATATTTTAAGTATCATTGACATTGGATATTTGTATATTAAAATTTGTTCGTTAACATAAATAATTTTTATGTTATGAAAAAAATCATGTTTTAAAACTTAAAATATTGTGAAACAATATTAAATTTAATTATCAAATAATTGTGAATAAACTGCAACAATTTATAATAGATCAAAATATTTTTGTCAACCGTACTTAAAGTATTTTTAATAAAGAAATTTTTAAAAAACATGTGGATGACAATTAATTTTAGAGTGAATTACACTTTTGGTCCTTGTACTTTACCTAGAGACTGATTTATTCTGTTTGCTAACTAAATGTGTTAAATTCAGGGACCTTGAGTGTTATGAAATTAAAATATAGGGATCATCAGTATAAATAGTTCGTTTTAGGGACCAAATCAAAATTTTGAGCGAACCACAAGGACACTCTCCTAATCTAGCTCGTTTCATCCTTATCCAAAGGTTGAAACTAGAGACACATTCAAGGGTTGGTTACTACCTCCTTACCACCTCTTACTGAGTAAGAGGCGCTTACCGAGTCATGGATGTTTGCCAAACTCTTCTTGCATGTCCATAATGCTGACATGGTAAGCTAAAGCGAGACTCTTACTACGTCAGTGATTACGACTACTTATATCATACTCTTATCTGATTAACGCTTACAATTTATATTGATATAATAACAGTCAGTGTTGGATAGACGTTTTGTTAAGCTTTTTCAAAAGAAAACGACATATACATGTATGTATCTACTTATGATTACGGATACGTGTGGGATGGATGTTCATAGTTGGGTTGGGTATGTATCTGTAACGCTTTTTTAATAAAAGTAAAGTCAAAAAGGAAACGAGAATAAAAAGGACCAAAACTTTGAATTTTGAAAGGAATAAATGATAGATAACACAAGGCAAAAATAGTTCGGAATATTTACAGAATAAAATCCCCATATTCTAAAATTCAACCATTCTAAGTGTGACATTTAATTGTCGGCTTTTCTTTCGACCATAAAATATAGGGTTCGGTTCCGATAAAAAAAAGTTATGATGAGAAGGTGACAACAAAATATTTACGTACATTCACATACCTTTACATATAATATTTTTATTATTATGACCCAATTTTTAATAAATTCATGCATGCGAAAGTGATTAAATGTATGTAATTTTTTTTTGTTGTGAAAATGACTTGAAATGAAGATAAAGGTATTGGAGGTACTGAAAGTAGTTGAAAAAACAGACTCATAAGTCTTCTCACCATAACTCTTATTCTCATATGATTCGTCGTCTTCAAATATATGAATTTTTTTTGATTTAACATATCAGTTATTTGTAATAAACATAATCTAACCCGAGATTTATATTATGGACTGATATTTTCTTGTATTGTGCAATAATATATGATTGTGATCTCATGTATACGTTCGAAGATTGAAAGATATAACTTATGATTCAAATAATCGATATATACCATACAAATTGAAGAGTTGGAATACGTTACCAAGACTTTGTGTCATGAAAATTTAAAAATTAAAATGTTTTACTCGTTATTTTAAATCTAAAAGAATTATGTAACGGAAACCATATCAGAGTAATTAACGTCAAACTAAATCCAATTTATCACGTAGTTTGTAAAATTAATAACAATTAACAAAACAAAAAATCATATTTAATTTTTTTGGGTGAAGAAGAAATTAAAATATATCCTTTTTTCACATGACAAAATGCTAAAAAATGATTTTTATTATCTTTTAAAGAATATTTATCCCTTTAATATTTTATTTTATTTAAACAGGTGAGGGCAATTTGGTAATTGCGAACCACAGAGGCACAAGCAACCCCTCTTAACCGACTCAGATCTATATATCACGCATTAGTAGCGTGTCATCCGATCGTAGCCGTTGGCTGATATCATCTCAACCGTCCATCTCATCTCTCATCTGCTTATAAAATCCCACACAAGGCACCGTTCGCCTCCACATAATCGTTTTCCTTTTTTCGAATCTCAAGAACGAGGCGGAGGATTTGAAACAAAAATTCAAGAAATTTCATAAAATCATACATAAAATCAAATCAACGATCGGTTGGCTCGGGTTTCTTAATTGAATGCTCTAAGTGTTGGATCAAACAGCCATTCAAGAACCGATCTTTGTTTTCTTCTAGGTTTAGGGTTTGTTGATTTTTTGATGTATGTTTTATTCTTCGTTTTTCTGGTAATCGGTAGTTTTATATCTTGATAGAAGTTTCCGTCTATCGATCTTCTACGTTTTTCGATCGCGAATTGGTATTTTAGGGCTCGAAATTTTCTGTTATAGTCGTGAAGTTTTTGTTTTCTTCTTTGAATCGTCACAAAAACTGTCGTTTCTTTTGGAAAAAAGATTTTGGAATCAGCGACTTGTACCAGAGTCTGATAGTCCGAATTTAGTTCGGAATCGAGATGAAAGATCAGGCACAGATGAAGAATCAGTCGCAGATGATGAGTATGGGGCAGCCGTTGCCGATAATGAGTCAATCACATCAGGTGATGAATAATCAGAACTCTCAGATGTTGATGAACCAGTTGATTAATCCATCTCATATGATGATAAATCAGTCGCAGTCACAAGGGATGCTGAACAACCGAGGTGGTGGCTACGGGATGTGGCCGCCGCCACAAGTGGATCAGCTCAAGTTCAAAAATCCGAATACGAAGCCTTCTGGATTTATGCCGTCTTCTTCGAAGGCCATGGGGCCACGAAACAACAAAAATTGGAAGGGGAAAAAAGGAAATGATAAGAGGAATAACAATAATTGGAAGGAATTGCCAGTTATGGGTGGCGGTAGTAGTATCAACAACGGCAATGTTGGTGGTGGAGGAACTTATAATCCTCCTACACTCAAGGAATTGCAGCAGCAAAATCGATTGAAGGCCAGAAGATACTTTTCGAAGAAGAAATTCAATCATGGTGGTAAATCAGCCCCTTTTGCTCCGAGGAACACCACATCGTTTCTCATTCGTGCAAAGAAAGCAGGTGGCATCACATCCTTGGTTTCTCCATGCCCCGTTACACCTGCCGTGCTTCCCACACCCAATTTTTCTCCATCGAGGGAAGTTTTGGTCGACATGGCGAAAGAAGAATGGGGTGTGGATGGGTATGGTTCGATGAAAGGCTTAATTAGGCTTAGGTCGCCTGGGAATGAAGCCGATGTAGCTGAAGATGAGGAGGATGAAGAGGGTGGGTCGAGTGAGAGCGATGTGGAGGAACATCTAGAGGTAGAGAGACGATTGGATCATGACTTGAGCAGATTTGAGATGATTTATCCAAATTATGGTGTCACGGATCATGGTAGTTATCATTTGGAGAACAGGGTTGATGATCAAGACACCCATATAGCTCAGTTAGAAGAAGAGAACCTGATATTGAAAGAAAGACTGTTCTTGATGGAAAGGGAATTTGATAACTTGAGGACAAGGTTGCAGTCTTTGGAGAGGCAGAGGAGGGGAGCACAAGGATTCATTGAAGAGGTTGTGGAGAATGATTCTGAGCATGAAAGCGAGAGCCGTGGTTATGGTAGGTCAGTTGAGGAAAATATGGAAGAGAACAATGAAGGAAATCAGTATGCTGAAGCCATGAAGTATAGTAACAGAGAGGTTGAACAGAAAGAATCTAATGATACTGAAAAGGGTGGAGAGACCATGGAAGAGTGTATTAATAAAGACAAAGTGGTAAAAGGTGTAGCAGATGTTGATATAGAAGATGATGTTCTGAGAAAGGAAGAAGACATAAATGTGGGACTTGGAGGTAAAATGGAAGATGATGATGGGACAATTGAAGTAAACCCAGATAGTAGCAAGGTAGAAGGGTCTGTTCCAATAAAGGATGAAACAGAAACAGAAACAGTTGCAGGGAGGTAATGAATGAATGGTAGGAAGTGGAGATGTGTTAATAGGAACCTAACAGAAGTTCTTGTGGAAATCCAAGTAGAATGGAGAAGGGTTGGGTTGGGTTGGGTTGGTTATCTTTAAGTTGTGGATTTGGTAGTCTTTTTCTGTATTTAGGGGCAGGGTGAGAGATGGTGATGAAGTGGGGTGTATGTGCAGCAGGTACTTACATTTGGTATTGGGATTTTGAAATCTATGCATATGTGTAAATCTAATGCTTTTAAATAATATTTGCATTCCATGTTTTCAAATGGGGATTACTTCTTTTGAAAAAACATTCAAATTCCAAACTGAAAATTGAATGATATTATGTTTATAAGCCCACCAATCAATTGTTGTATTGGTTTTGTTGATTTTGAAATTGATTGAAAGTAAACCTACCAAATCGACAATTCACAACAAGAAGTAGCATAGATTTGATTGTTGGGTATTGAATTATAATAGTTTGAAATAAATTTAGGGGTGTTTAGGATTGCATATAAAAACAACATATTGTCTGATTTTGGTATGATGTCGGTAAGAAATATTTTTGAGTGTTTGGATAAACAAATTATAACGGTGCCAAATCGATAATAAAAAGTTTTTGAAGAAATTATAATAAGTTGATACGTGTTTTTATAAAAAAAATCTAAGCTGTTTCAAATAAACGATTACAAATACACCTTTAACGGTAGGGGTATGAGTTTTAATTTTATAGGTTGTTTTGGTGTCATAAATTACTTGAAATTTTAGTATTATATATCAGTCTCCTGGTCTATTTCTTTTGGGTTTATCTACTGTTACTTTATTTTTATAATTTAAATATTAATTATATTATTAAAATATTAATACTTAATAAAATATTATTTTTCTTTTTTAAACACCTATCTTTAATACTTTTTTTGGAAAATGATAAAAATATTATTTCTTTTCTACATAAAGTTGTTAAAAATCGAAGATTTTCATCTTTTCTCTTGTTTTTCAATTTTAATGTAACCGTTGAAAAAAAAAAAACTAAAATTTTGAGATCTTTATTTCAGTTTATCAATTGGAAAATGCTTTTAGTATTTGATTATCAAGAATGAAAAATTAACTCATGATCGGTAAAGGCCTTACTCTATTCCTTGTCAGGAATAGCGACCTGCACTTTGGCCTGTTAGAATACCGTACTCGAGTCAGCTTCACTCCTTTACTTGTACATCTCTTTCTCGAATGGATGTTTTATAAAATAAAGATATAAAAAAACTGGTTCAATTGTTAATTTGATACCTAATTTAAAAAAATTACTTAGAAAAAGATTTTAGGTTGGACCAAACCTTTATTTCTTCAATATATTTGATAAAGCAAATCCAAATCCTTTTACATGCTTGAATACTTGTTCTTACGTATATAATCAATAAGCATAAGTTTTTTTTTTCCTTCAAACTTTTAATGAATTTTAATTATAAAAGTTAACTAATTATAGAAATATTAATACGTCGGACGAGTCGTTTAACTTTACATTTATTTGTACTATCTATTAATTTTAGAAGGTCAGTCTAGTCCCCTATGTCTTCGAGAATGGTGTCGAAACCAACTTCTCAAACGGATCTCGAAAATATCTTAGTATAACCAATTGAAATCGAGATCGATTTTAGACCGTCGTAGATTCAATTATTTACTATTTATAATATCAACTAAAAAATAATAATTTTATATTCTTTATTTTAAAATAAAAAAATGACCCAAAATTCAATCTCGATTCCTCCTCCGGGTATGGAAATAATAAATTCATTTTTTTTTCTTTCCAATTTAAAGATTTGTTGAATATAATTAAGTAGGTGTTTGGAATTGCTTATCGAAAACAAGTTATGTTTTATTATAAAAATACTTATCAATTTATTATAAGTTAAAAGGGTTTAATTTCTTTAAAAACTTTTTATTATCGGTTTGGTACCGATATAAATTATTTATCCAAACACTCAAAAATGCTTATTAACGATATTATACCGAAATAAGTAATAAATTATTATTATTAAGCGATACCAAACACCCGCACACCCTAATCTTTCAAATATATACCACCTTCTTCGTTGGAAGGCGACCTATCGTCGCAATGGCCATCGCAACTCCTTCCCTCTCCGTCTTCTCCCAAGAAACCAGATCGATCTTCAATATTTCTTCCATTCTCACCATCCTCTCCTTTGTTTCATCTAGAAGCTTCTTTGTGAACTCAAAACCCTTTTTCAATTTATGCTCCAATCTCGACAATGGGATCGATGTGGTGCGTAACTTACCAAAAACGTACCATCTGCTCATTCGTCTTCATAGCAGCTATTCGTCGATTCCTCTTGCGGATCCGAAAGTGGTTGCCTGAAGACAATCAGATTGTTCGTTTTCTAACCTGTTTAATTTTTGTAAATATTTTCCGTCGTTCTAAATAAAACTGTAATGAACAAGATGTATCAATCTACAACATGGTTGCATTATTCTGGTACAAATTGTGACGACGAAACGTGGTTCCCCAACGCTTCTGTGCACCTTTTTTGGAAGTTATTTCCCCCCAAAACCACTTGCATAACCCTAACCCTAGCTCTTCTGAACGGATGGTGGTCACCGCGGACTTTTTCAATGATAAATTTGGAGAACCCATGGGAGATACTTGATGGTTTCATCAAGGTTTGCTTTTTTGCTCTTGTGATATGTTATATGCGTGTCTAGTGTTTATGAGATTAAGTTGATTGGTAATTTCAGCAATTCATTGTGACTTGTATCTCCTCCGAAAATCATTGGATATTAAATGTTTAGGTTCCATGCCATTACTGTACTAGCTTTATATGATCACAAAGTAGTTCTATACTTCTATTGATTTTTTCTTAGCAATTTGAATACTTTGTTTTAGAAGAATCAATATCTCAAAAAAATAATCAAGTTTTTGTTTGACTAATAACAAAATTGCAGAGAAAACCTATATGTTGCTTTGGTAGAGCTTCATGTGCTCATGTGTTAGTGAGGGAATTGGCACTGTATTGAGTTTTGAGTCTATTCTTTGATAAATGATGAACAATAAGCTTTTGCCTATTTGCCTCCACCTATTTATGTTGGTTTGGTTTATACAAGTGTTGGCATAAGTATAGGACCATGCTCTCGATTGGTATTCTTGATTTTGATCTAATGGGTGTGCCTGGAGTTCCATATCTCATATGTTGTGTTTAATTGCAATTTGGAAGACCGTGCTCTTGATTGGTATTCTTGATTTTCATCTAATTGGTGCATAAGGTATTAAGGGATTTGTGTTATTGGCACTTAAATTGGTAAATCAATTTGTGCTCTTATCCAAGCATTGGCTTTTTCGTTCTGTGTTAGACCTTAGTCGATCCTTGTAAAATATTCCTCTGGGCGTTATTTTTCTTATCGTATATGTCCAAGGGTACTTTAGTCTTTTCTCTTCTTTAGGGTTTTAGATTATATATGGTAGATTTTGTTTATAATCTAGAGTTACATTTGCTCAAAATAGGTGCGGCGCTCTCCTTGGATTAACCAGTCGGCGCTCCCATTGATTCAACACAATCTTCCTTCTGTGAGTTGTTGATACTCCATAAGTTTCCGATTTCGATTTTTGATTCTAGATTTTTTGATCTATACTCCATGATGTATCTTTTCATAGATTGAATTTATCTTGTCAGCATTTTCTTATAAATCGGATGTGCAATTATTTTGTCTTGCAGGAAATGGTGAACATAAATGAGTTTCCAAGTGACGGAACAATGAATTCAAATGGAAGCGATCGGAGCAATTTCAGGACTCCGATAATCAGAAATGTAAAGGAAGAACCGTTAATGGTGATCTTTGTGCCCCTTAAATTACAGGGCATATATGGTATTCAATCATATAGTTTTGGGTATTTATAAATGTACCCTTTTTTGCTGTTTCAGGAAATGGAAAATGAAGATCGAGTCCTTTACTCCGGAAATACCTTGGCTGGAGATGGGGAAGCGGAAATTCCAGTAATTGGGATGACCTTTAATTCATTTGAAGAAGTCCGAGAATTCTATGGGAAATATGCTGCTGGAAAAGGTTTTGACATAATCACAAGAAGCACAAAGTCAGATGTTGAAGGGAAAATCAAGTATTACACCCTTGCATGTTCTCGTTCAGGAAAGGCAGTTTGTACCAGAAAGTGCCATTTACTGTCCAAGTCAGTTGTTAAAACCAACTGTAAAGCCAGAATAAATATTAGGACATCTCGTGATGGTAAGCTTTATTTATCTGGATTTACTTCCGAACATAATCATGAACTAAGTCATGGAAATTCGAGCTGCAATACCTGTACTACTAGTTTGGGGCCTCATCTAGAACGACTAGTTGAATATGATGATCAGGTGGAAACACAAGTCAATAACAATTTTCAACTGCTTGCTAGCAATGAAAATCTTCATTCTAGAAATGAAGAAATTATAAACTATATTGCTAGATCTGGAAGTTTAAGACTTGGTGAAGGTGATATAGAAAGCATCTTCGATTATTTTGTGCACATGCAAAAACAAGATACTAACTTTTTTTATGTTTCAAATATGAATGAGGAATGTTGTCTGAGAAATGTTTTCTGGGCCGATGGGAGGTCTCAGGCCCTTTATGAGTCTTTTGGAGATGTTGTTGCATTTGAATCTACGTATCTGAATAGTGACTACAAATTGCCATTGGTCTCTATTGTCGGTGTTAACCACCATGGGCAATTGATATTGCTTGGTTGTGGCATACTATTCGATGACGACAAGGAGAGCTATATGTGGCTCTTTAGGTCATGGTTGAAGTGTGTGTGTGGTCGTCCTCCGAAGGCAATTGTAACAAATCAATGCCCTTCTGTTCAAGCAGCAGTGTCAGAGGTCTTTCCAGAAACTAGGAATCGACTATGCCTTCAAGACATAATGAGAACGATTTCCTTAGAGTTGTGTGGATTGACCAACTATTTGGCAATAAAAAATGCACTAGAGAGTAGTGTCTTAGAGTCATGTACAATAGAGGAGTTTGAAGAAAGCTGGAATTTATTTATCAAGGAATTGAAGCTCGAGAATAATGACCGGCTGAGGACCCTGTATTTAGATCGTGCAAAGTGGGTTCCTGCATTTCTAAAGACAACATTTTGGGCAGGGCTTTCTTCTGCTAACGAGCAAAATGAAAATGTGAATGGTTTTTTTGATGGTCACATCCTACCTGAAACCACCTTGAAGCAATTCATGGACCAATTCAATGCTATGTTAAGAAGCAAGATTGAGAAGGAAGAGCATGCTGATTCTATATCTTCCAGTTTTGTCATACCCACAATAACTGATTTTCCTTTGGAAAAGCAGTTTCAGGATGCATATACCAATGAAATGTTCAAGTTATTTCAAGAAGAATTGATAGGGTTGATCTACTGTAATGCTTCTTTGGTTTCATCTGAGGGTCCGAAACTTACTTTTGAAGTCAAAGACCATGCTAGAATGAAAGATGGGTCAAGGAGAAAGGTGGTTTATGAAGTGATTTTTGACGATGCCTCATGTAATGTGTGGTGCAAATGTTGCTTGTTTGAATCTCAAGGGATTCTTTGTAGGCATGCAGTTGCTGTATTGGTTGATCAGGATGTCAATGAGGTCCCATCTTGTTATATTTTGTCTCGCTGGAGAAAGGACGTTAATCGCATGCACAAAGGCGTTAGTAGTTGCAATGAGGTTTTGAAATCCAATGAGCAGATGGTGTGTTTAGGTAAGCTACGCACCGCATGTCACTCCATTGTGGAAATTGGAGCCGAAACCGAAGAAGGATTTGAGTTGGCACTAAATCTTTTGGATGAAGTCAAGGAAAGAATGTTTGAACACAAATCCGAAAGTAGCAGAAATAATGAAGAGCCCTCGGGTTCTTCGGCAAAAGATGGAGAGGCAGCAAAACATTATGGTGAGGAGTTGCAACGTTCGTTGGTAGTGCGACGTAGAGGTCGACCTCCAACTAAAAAGAAGAAGGTATATATTTCAAAGGAAATTATGCAGTATATTTCCATTTTACTTCAAGTCCTTCGCCTTTGTATGCTCAAGTTTAAAGTTTTGTTTACACTTGACTCTCTTATGTTTAAATTGCTTGCTGGAGTTTCTGTAATGATGTGGGAATTTCAACAGGTACACTTTTCTCCTGACACGTGGACGAACAACCCATCTGCAAGAAATAATTCCAATGGACAGAATTTACGGGTGTGCCCTCTAATATGTATATATATGTGTGAATTTGATATTCAACAATGTTATTTCTAAGTTAACATTTGCACTTTCTGGTTACAGGGTAATGCTGACACCCTGACCTTTAATGCATCTTTTGGTGGTTCCTAGCAATGCATAACCAAAGTTAGAAGATTCTGGAAGGTATAGTTTATAAACTTCTATGCTTTGTTCATAATCCTATGTGCACTTTCCTTCTAATGTCTTGAAGTTGTTGCACTAGATCCATGGAATATGGCATGGTCTGTGGCTACTTGATGAAGAAAACCACCGTCATTCTATTTAGCATGCGCAATAAGTTAGTACTCAAATTTTCTATTACATTAGAGATCATGTTTGTGGCATTACTTCTGTGAAGCACATGGTCAAATCAAGATTATGTTGCTTCACAGTGACCTAGAGGAGTTCATGGTTTTCAATTGCTGGGTGATGTAAGTAATAAGCTCTATCATATCACATACCGAATAATGGGGATATTGTCTTGTTCTTTCATTTCTTGTTCACCATAGAAAATTCAGTCCACTTTATCTTGCATATACATGTATGCAAAAGTCCCAGAGACAAATTCTATTGGATTTGAGATGTATGTTCTAGATACGGATTATGTACTCATACCTTATATCTGCCCCTTCACAACCCGGACAAATTCTGTGTATGGGTGTTGCTGAGTTTGTTTAGATCTTGTTGTCACATGGAAATTACAATACCTATGGTTTGAAGCATTGGAAACAATTGGAGAGCATGAAGAAACATCTGTTTCTGGTGTTGACGATCTTTTCATGGTATGCAGGTTCAAATGTCAGATACATAACCGTAGTTGTATGGAGTTGTAACAAGCCAACATTGGGCAAATTAGTTCTGCATCGAAGACAAAGAGGCTATGGTACCTTTTGTGTTTTGAGTTTATGAAGTCAAGTTTTGTAGATTTAAAAAGTTGTAGTCACAAATTCTATATTCAAGTTATTTGAAAATGGGTTTTAGATGCCAAAAGAACAAACAAACACTATGCTATCATTTGGAGTTGTTTGTTTATATCGATGTTATGTCGTAATTTTCCTTTCATGATGCAATTTACACCTATGACCCCCTCTCCATACTTAAATGTGAACATATTTTTATATATATTTTTGTTGTTAGTTTATCCTTTAAAATGCTTAGAAGAGAATTAAAATTCATAAATTACAACATTTTTACATTTTAAAAATTCTATTTTTAATTTTTAATTCATAAATTACAATTAACTTGAGCTTCTTGTTGCCATTCCTATTCTAAGTTCAATTTTCTTGCAATTTGTTGCCTTTTATTATTTTAATAAAATTTTCCAAAAAGTATATCTTATAAAATGCATTTAAGGTAACAGTAATAATGAGATTCCATCCTTACTTTTTATTCCATTAATAACAAATTAATTAAGAGAAAATCACCAATTAATTAATGCACCATTTAAAGACAAGAGTAATAATGATAATTTAATTGCCGTATATAAATGTAATTAATTAAATATCAAAAAATAGAGACGGATCAATCAATTTCTTTTTTGAAATACGACTACTTTATAATTTATTTAAAATAAAGATAATATGTGAGAAAAAAATATATTTACATAATGAAAAATTGCATCAAAATTGACCCAACTTTCACCTGATTTTTATTTTGGAGAACCAACTTTCAAAATCGTCATTTTGGGGAACCAACTTGCAAACGATTCTTATTTTGGGGAACCAACTTTCAAAATCGTCATTTTGGGGAACCAACTTGCACCTGATTTTTATTTTGTGGAACCAACTTGCAAAATAATTATAGAAAAAATAATTAAATTTCGTTTTTAAAAAAAATTAATGCAATAAAATCTATTTTTCATTTCAAATCTCGTTTTTTTAAATTCAGATATCAAATTGAAGATTTTTTCAAAAAAAAATCCAAATTATCACAATATTTTTTTTACTAATGCAATAAAAAAATCAATCTAATAGATAAAAATTAATTGATGCAATAAAAAATAAATATTAAATATCACATTCAAAAAATTTATATCTAACCAATCCGTATCGATATTAAAGTTTAAATCAAATTTGGCAAATCAAACCAAAAGTTTGATAGAGACCCTTAAATTACTTGTTACCTATTCAACAGATCAATCAGACCCTTAAATAAACAAAAAAGTTTGATAGAGACCCTTAATTGACGATTTAAAAAGTTGGTTCCCCAAAATAAGAATCATGTGAAAGTTGGTTCCATTTTAGTACAATTTTCCCTTTTTATAAACATATTGAAAAATATTCTCTGTTCTTTCAAATAAGTACCTTCATCTTTAGAGACGGACCTTGCGTCACATTGTCAAGGGAATGTTTCACCTCATCTCCATCTTTTCCCAAACAACCATAGATTAACTTTTTCAACATTTATGCTATTTTTCCGATTTATGTTTTAGCATTCTTTCCTTAGTTTTATCTAGAAGCTTCATTGTGAGCTCAAAACCGTTTTCACTTTTTGCTCTGTCGTCACAATAGGATGACATGCGGTGCTCAGCTCACCAAAATGCACCATTTGCTCATTCTTTTCATAACTTCATAGCAATTATTAACCCCAATGGACAAAGGGGTTACTGGTTTCTATGAGGTTATGCAAACAAATGAGCAAACGGTGCGTTTTGGTAAGTTGAGTACTGTAGGTAGCTTTTAGATGAAACTAACGAGAGGATGCTAAAACATAAATCGGAGAATGGCATAGACATTGAAGAGCCCTATGTTCCTTGGCAAAAGATGGAAACGAGATGAAACATTATGGCAAAGAGTTGCAATGTCCGTTGACAACGTGACATAGATGCCGCTTTTTGAAGAAATATAAGAAGGTATATATTTGAAAGAATACAATACATAAACAACCTCTTTACCTCTAGGTAGAGTTAAGATCTGCGTGCATTCTTACCCTGCTATACCACACTCCATGTGGGACTCAAATCTCAATAGGTTAGCATGGTTTGGTTTTGGCTTAGGGTTGTGAGACATGCGAACGTACGTTGCTCAATCATATATGGTGCTACTTTAAGTGTTTTACCTTTTACATGCTTAAACGAGACATGGTATCTTCTAAACTAGCTAAGATACCAATAATTACAAAAAAAGATTTGGGACCTCTAGCAATTATCCTTTAATTTACATGCATGAATTTTGATATTCAACAATGTTGTTTTCTAAGTTAACATTTGCACTTTCTGGTTACAGGATAACATCGACACGTTGACTATTTTTTTTTGGTATTTTTTATTCATCTTTAAAAACTTCATTTTTCTGTTTAGGACAAAAAATAGCTATATTATAACGCAGTCAATTTCGTTGTTTATTTTTATTAAAATACAAATACTACTGAATGTCGATAATTTGACAAGAAAGTTATCATACTGCCATTGTAATATGACTTTGTGTTTCGATAACAACTAATATCAACTTATTTTTGAAGTCTATTTTAGAGAAATTATGTATAAGTTATTGAAGATTTCATAATACCTTTTCATTTTCTATTTATCATGTTCGATATTCGACTTATTTTCCTCATTTTCAACAAAAATAATTGTACAAGTGGAAACTATTTTCTTAAACACATTTATTGAATAATAAATATATCTTAAAAGTCAACTGGATGGCAGGTGTGCAAATGGCATGAATCATTGATTCATTGTTCACTTGTTTATGAGGAAGTACATGTGTGAAGAATTTTGTAAAGATGATTCAGCGAATAAAGTCGATAGATAGGTTTGTTTACTTTTTAATAATTTTATTAAGAGATAATTTCTAAATCGTTAAGAGATGAATCTTGTTTGGCAAAAATAAAATCTGATTATTAATGGTTATAAAACTCTCTGAATGATTTTGTATCATGAGCCTCCTTTAATCATTATGAGCCCCAATTTCATTGTAAACAATTAACAAATAATTATATTATATTTTACATTATATCATGAAAGTCACTTAATAATTTTAACCACTTAATTATTTTACATTAAACCATTCAACAACTGTCAAACAATCATTTAATCTTGTAAAATAAGATATTTTTTTTTATTATTATAAATTGAGTGGACTTTTTTTTAAAATTATTTCCTAACGCTAGTCCTTCTCTGTTTCACTTTCGCCACGTCTCTGTTTTGTAAGGGGAGAGAGATAGAGGATGGAGGAGGGAAAAGAGGCGTTGTTGTCGCCGACGACACCAGGAGGTAGTCGTCGGGGACGGAGGTTGAGTCGGAGGTACTCCGTGAACTCACTCAGAAACGATTTCTTAACTCGGTTACCTGATAAGGTCCGTTCGACTGTTGATATCGAGTGTTCTTCTCCTTTCGCTCTACCGTCTAAGTCATCCGAATCCTTAACTCCAGGTGTTGTTCATATATTTATCCTGAATTTCCCTCTCCACTGTTTCTCATTGATTTCTGATTTTTTTTTTCCTTTGTGTATAGGTGAAAAGGAGTATTATGAAAAGCAATTTGCAACACTGAAATCATTTGAGGAAGTCGATGCTATAGTTTCATCTGAGGGAATTGATGAGGAGGACTTGGATGAACAGCTTCAGCAAGAAAGAGCTATGAAAATTTCTAATTACGCCAACATTCTGTTACTGGCTATTAAGGTAATCTTTCATTGCTTATTTGATTGCTAAAACCGATTAAGGGGGGAATCATTGTTGTTGTTACTTCTCAGATTCAAAAACGATATCAACCTTGCTACGAATTTTAGTGATTCAATGTAATTATCACCTTTTTCTCCAAGAATATTACGAATTTTGAAGTCGAGAATCAATCCGTTTGCCTCAGAATTGCAAGTTTTATCCCTTTCTAATTGGAACAAAGGCTTTAATTGGATCAGGTTGTGTCCAATAACATGTAATGATGCATAGATAATAAATTATATTATTGTTTGACGATCATAGGCAGTTCTTCCCTTTCTAATGTAGTGATGTAATAATCATCGTATTTATTAACTGTTTCTGTCAATATCTTCTGCTTAATATAGATCTTTGCCACAATAGAGACTGGATCTATCGCCATTGCTGCATCCACCCTTGATTCCTTGCTTGATCTGATGGCCGGTGGCATCCTTTGGTTCACTCACCTGTCTATGCAAAGCATCAACATATACAAGTACCCTATTGGTAAATTGAGGGTGCAGCCTGTTGGTATCATTATCTTTGCTGCAATAATGGCTACACTTGGTATGTTGTTATAAGTAAAATGATGGTGTTTTTATTCCTGGCATTTTGCACTATGATGAAGAGATTTCACCCTTGAATCCTTTTAGGCTTTCAGGTATTGATTCAGGCCGTAGAACAATTAATTGAGAACAAACCTCCTGAGAAGATGTCATCTCTTCAGTTGTTATGGCTATACGTAATCATGATTAGTGCGACCGTTGTCAAACTTGCCTTGTGGTTATACTGCAGAAGTTCTGGAAATGAGATCGTTCGTGCCTATGCAAAGGTAACTTGTATTCCATTTCAATATTAACGTTCCCATTGTCTGATAAAGCCATTCTCTTTAACTTTTGGCTTACCAGTTCTGAAAATCAGAATTTGTATCTAACACAAATGTGCTCGCTAACAGGATCATTACTTTGATGTGGTAACAAACGTAGTTGGATTAGTTGCTGCAGTTCTTGGTGATATGTTCTACTGGTGGATTGATCCTGTTGGTGCTATTATTCTTGCTGTTTATACGATTGTAAACTGGTCTGGAACTGTTTTGGAAAATGCAGGTAAACAAACGAGAATCCAGTATATCCCACGTAGAGATAGGGTCTAGGAAGGGTAGGATGTACTAATAGTAACATGATGTAATTACACAGTTTCATTAGTGGGACAATCGGCACCTCCTGAAGTCCTGCAAAAGCTGACTTATCTCGTTACAAGGCATCCTCAAGTCAAGCGAGTTGACACAGTTCGCGCATACACATTTGGAGTCCTGTACTTTGTAGAGGTTAGTGTTTGTGGTCTCTTTGTTTTGTTAAAGGTCTCGTTGTGTATTCCTTGTGATTTGGAAGCTTTTAGTGATGATATTCTTTCGTGCAAGTACGTTTCTTGAATCAGGTTGATATCGAACTCCCAGAAGATTTATCATTGAAAGAAGCTCATGCAATCGGAGAAACACTACAAATAAAGATTGAAAAACTTCCGGAGGTGGAACGGGCGTTTGTTCATCTAGACTTCGAATGCACTCATAAACCGGAGCACAATGTTCTGACCCGGCTTCCCAACAGCGACCCTTGACATGGTTTTATGCATGCTCTTGAACCAAATCTGTATGGTTTTTTTGGGTGATGAGTAATAGATTTCTAATTGTATTCGTTGGGCTCTTTGAAGTGTAAATCTTTTTGCTGCAGACAAATAAGCTCTAATTTATACCTGAATACAAACTTAAAGGGTTTGTTTGTTTACCTCTTAATAGTTTCATTAAAAGACAATCTTTGAATCGTTAAAAGGTGAGTCTTGTTTGGCCAAAAAAAAAAGTCTACAATTACCATTAAGAGCCTTAATTTCATTGTACACAATTACCAAACAATTATATTTCATTTTGCACTATATCATTCAGCAATTGCCAAACAGCCCCTTACATGATTTATGTTCATTTTGTTTACCGTAAACCAACATCATAACTTTGTCTTTACTAAATCATTTGGATTTTGTGTGTTCTCTAATACTTTTCTTTACGATGGAAAAATAGGGTGAAAAATCGAGGAAAAAGAAAAAACTGTGTTCTTGAATCTTTGCAAGGGAAATGAAAGGAAAATAATATTTTCAGTATGCAGGGTTGGGTTATGATTAAGGGGCTGCTTACTTGCGGCTTAATTAGGTTTATTGGTCTATTTGCCTTATTCGCACAACTCATTTGGGTTGTTTACTTATGGCTTATTCGGACAGACATGACTTAATCGCACAGACAGAATTGGTATGTTTCCCCGTTCAGCCACAAAAATGACACTCCTACCCCTTATTTAAAGCACTATCTCCTTCCCATATGAGATACCCCATCGTTGGTCTCTTTATGATTTTCTGTTTTAATGTTCAAATAATTAATATTGGGGGTAAATCGGTCATTTATGTTATTCAGACTGTTGGTTTAAATAAAAAAAGTAAACAACACCACCCATTTAATCAGACAGAAAAATTTATTCATACATGACTTAATAAAAAATTTGGTAAACAACCCCAAGCCAATTTAAATCCTATTAAATGAAAGTTTTAGGTTGTTTAATCAAGTTATTTGCAAGTTGAATTGGGCGAGTTGTCGACTCAATTGGGTTTGGACGTTCCTAACATGTCAGTCATAAACCTTTCACGAGTGTCTAAAAAATATTGTTTCACGTGCATAACCAAGTGTTTTTTTCCAAATCCACACAAAATTTAAAGTTGTCAGGATAAAGTTGTCAACGTGAATGAATCTCTTTGTACAAATTAAAAAGGTTTTTGTTTTGGATAATTTTTTTTTTCTTCATAAATAGGAGTAAGTTTTGAAAAACTTAGATTTTTACATAAAGTTTTCATCTAAAAACTTACTGAACAAGTTATTTTCTATATCATTAAGTCACTACCAAATAACTGATTGAACAAACTATTTGTTCCATTAACCTTATTAATCTGCTAAAAAAACAAATCATAAGACTGTTTAGATGTCAGATTTTAAAAATAACTATATGATGATTTAGAGGTTAAATAATAAATTTGATATTTATTCTCATAAGATATTTTGTGACAAATAATTATCAAATTTAAAAATTATATGGTAAATCAGAATTCCGTAGTCATTATATTTTTATAGAAACAAACCTTTTCTTGTTAACTCTTAGATATTTGTATATTATGCTCATATGATCATTTATCACATAATCACAGAGCAATTACCTCATATGCATAACCAAAACCTGATTATCATATTAATATATAAAAATAAAGTTAAAAAACTAATGAACTTTAACTATTTATTTTATAATTTTTATTAAAATATAAATATTTGTTTAAAAAAGACCAAAATGTTAGATAATATTAAAAAAAGGGTAAACTTGGAACACCCTACAAATAATAATTGGGATATGCTTTTCAAGAAAATGAAATGCAAGACAACAAAGAAAGAGAAAAACAGAGGAAAAGAAATGGCCACAAAGCAGGGGCTTCGCAATTTTATCCCTTTGCGTCTCTCCTTCCATGGCTACACTTTCTCGCTCCTCATCAATCCATCCGCCATTATCGTCCTCACTCTTCTGCTCTATAACCTCCATCAACCCCATACAATACATCCCAATTTTAAACCCTCATAAAACCCTATTGTCCGCCGCTTCTTCTTACTCCAGCCTCCATTTAATCCCTCCACAAAAACTAATTCTTGATCCCATTTTATTATACACCACTGGATTCAAACCTCCTTTGGATACTCAAACATTTCTTGCCACCATCAGCGTTTTGGTTGCAATTTCTCTCTCATTGTTTCTTGGTCTCAAGGTTTGCCCTACTCCCCTTTTATATTACTTGCTGATATATGTTGTAGTTGATCAATTGGAAGTCAAATTGTTTCTATTTTCGACGTTTCCATATTGTTCTCAACTTTTTTTGTGAGGGATAATGATGACTACTTCAGACTTTGTAACATTACTAACATATTTCATGTTAATGTTGTATCTGGGAAGCAAAATTCAAAATGCAGCCCTCTTTTTGAAACCAGGGAGTGTAATCTTTGATTTGTGGGTTCTGATGAATGACATTTTATTGGTTTTCTTGTAGGGAGATCCAGTTCCTTGTGAGAAATGTGCTGGCAATGGTAACTTTTCTAATTTTATGTTGTAAACTTGAGAGAATCGACTTTTTTTATGTTCTCTATCAATATACGAGTCATATCTGTTGTATGTTTGGAAAGACACCGCATTTTGACTTTAGGGATTTAGAAAGACTGAATTTCAGCTGACAAAAGGGATGCAAATTCTTTAAATCTTTGGGAGAATTTACTTTATAGAAAAGGGTTCTTGTTCAATTTTCAACAAAGTCTTGTTTCATAATGTATTGATCTTTTTTCTGTCTGAATGAGGTGAAAAACTGTGTTTTTAACAGTCTGGTGTTATGAATAGGTGGCACAAAATGTGTTTTCTGTAGTGATGGGAAGATGAAACTGGAAACGGGCTCGGTTGAATGTAAAGTATGCAAGGGTGCAGGTAATAAAGATGCTTTCTGGTCTGTATATTGATTTAGTGGCAACTCCCGTTTGATGCTATTCATTATGATGTAACGATTTATGTAGATAGAACCCACAAAACGAATATGTATCATGCATATGATGTTTGGATATTCACTTGTGATTTTGTAGGACTGATACTCTGCAAGAAGTGTGGAGGTTCTGGATATTCAAAACGCTTATGAGTTAGCTTTGGATTTGCACATTTTTCCAGCAAACAAGCTGTGTTAAACCTGTAAGAAGGGATCAGTCTTATATCTCTTATATATGTTCTGTTTAGCCTGTTAAAGTTAACATGAATCTAGTGGAGATTTGAGATATGTTTTAAGTGACACTTTGTATGACTTCTGTAATTATATACATACTTTCAGAGGCTTTTGGCAATTCTTTTTTGGTATGAATCTTTGTACCTAGGAACTCAGATGGAACAATGCACACCCTCAGGACCTTTAAAAAGTTAATTTGTTCCTTGAGAAATCAAGACACGATATTAACTACATATTGTTGTCATGCTTATACACTACGTTAAATATGAACTTTTGAGGATAACCTATTTTACACAACACGGGGAAATATGCGGCAATTTTATTGATAATGGGAATTTAAAAATCTTTGCAAAATACAATAGAAGGTATGGTCTTCTATCACCTCTACATTGCTAAACCTCTAGTTCGAAATAAGAACAAGTAGTTGAGAACAACGTAAATACCAGGATCCAAGAAGTCAAAAAGAACAAAATATCACACCACTAAGTATGTGACCCCTAGCAATTTTAGAATGAACCCACCATCTTTACGTAAACCTAATCTTTCTATCAACAAAGTGAAAAAAAGCATGTCGCCCATGATGGTTGAGAAGTAAAGCGCCACATGCTATCCAAAATCCTGTAGCAAAACCAATTCCCCCACCAATATAAAACCATATCTGAAGTTCATCCGTGCCTTCCTCACCACTCTCACTTTCACCTACAAAGGGTAGGACTTCCAATACTTCATCTTCGGGACAATTTTTGGTAATGGGAGGTCCACATAGTTCTGTATTTCCGGTGTACCTTGAAGGCTCAAAGGACTGGAGTTGAGTGCTAGATGGAATTCTACCTGACAAGTTATTATGTGACATGTCTAGGTAATTTAATAAAGCCATCTGAGACATGCTTGATGGAATCCTTCCCGAAAATTTGTTTCTAGATAAATCCAAACTTAAAAGTGTTTTCATCTCACCAATTTTCAGTGGAATCTCTCCAAGCAGAGCATTTCTTGACAAGTTTACTGCAAGCAGGTCATGAAGATCAGTTAATTCATTTGGAATTTGTCCTGTTAAATTGTTGCTTGACAAATCAATACTTATCAACAATCCCAGATTACTGGTGAATTCAATCTCGTTTCCTTCCCACTCAACCATCGCGTTGTCAACATACGTACCAGTAAACTCAGTTGAAGTAAAAGAACTTTTACTCTTGTAAGCCACTGTATAATGATGTATGTTCTTCACGTGTAACCTTCGCTCAACCATGGCATTAATATTATTTATACACGATGGGATGGTTCCATTGAGGTTGTTCATTGACAAATCTAGGATTTGAAGGTTCATGAGATGACATAGTTGTAAAGGAATGGGTCCGATGAAGTTGTTTGATCTTAGGCTAAGAGCATACAATCCTGTTAAGTTTTCCCCAATCCAAACAGGCACGTTACCGAAAAACTTGTTGGCCCCCAAATTCAAAAAATTTAGCTCTTTGCAATTGTTCAAAGTCAAAGGCAATTCTCCTGAGAAGCTATTGTTGTATAAATTCAACACCTCGAGTTGAGCCAGATATCCTATAGAAGCAGGAAGCCTTCCATAAAGATTGTTGTATCCTAGATTAAGAACTTTTAGCTCTTTGAAATGCCACAAACAGTCCGGAAGTTGTCCTGTTATAAAGTTATGAGAGAGGTCAAGAAATTCTAGAAACCCATCCACAATTTGGCACAAAAAGGAAATCCCTCCATAAAATTTGTTCTTGGACAAATTTAATGATACCAAAGTGGAAGGAACATTCGGTATTGGACCATGGAGGTTGTTGGAACTCAAATCTATAACCGCGTAGAGGTGAAAATTTGATAACAAATCTGGTACTTTTCCGCTGATGTTGTTGGAAGAGAGATTCAAATATGTCAATTGTGAAGGCCATATGTTCCAAAACTCCTCAGGAATTGTATCCGAAATTCTATTATTGGCAATATCAAGATGGGAAAGATTCTTGTGTGTTTGAATCCATTTGGGGAAGAGAGGCCCTAACTTGCAAGCACTCAGATCAATATACTCTACTACATAGGAAAGATTTAACACATGAGCTTTGGAATGAATCACTTTGAGTGAGTTGTTTGAAAGATCTATCTTCTGAAGCTTTGACTTTCCAATGTTTTCCGATACAACACCTCTAAGCGAATTGGAAGAAACATCTAGAGTTTGAAGATTGGGTAGTTCCCACACTTTTTCACTCATGGTCCCAGTTAAGTGATTATCGGGTAGGGTCAAACTTTGTAAGGATAAGAATTTTTGGATCTCATCAGACAATGACCCTGTAAATTGGCTACCTGAAGCATCCAACTCTCGCAACGTAACTGATGTGCATCCAGATAAATTGTTTAGGAAATCAGGAAATTTGACAACTGCAGAATTGCCGTGGAGAGCTAAAGATGTCAAATTACAGAGATTTCCAAGATATTTGGGTATCCCATCTAACTTGTTGTAAGAGAGATCAAGAGAGAGAAGTCTATTGCTTGTTAATGGGAACAACCAACGATACATGGATGAGCTGAGATTGTTACTTCCGAGAATTAGGTTTCCAATAGATGAAGAAGAAGAGTTGACAAATGAAGAATACGGATACATGACCCTTGAAAGGTCACATCCCCATAAACTTACATATGATAGTTTTCGAAGACTTAGAATGAAATCTATCCAGTGATTTGCTTTTGCTAAGGAAATCCCTTCCATGTCAAGGTGTTGCAAATGAGAAAGATTCGACAACCAGTCTAAGTTTTCAACCGTACATCTTACATGGGATGTTCCAAGTGAAAGATTTCGCAAGTTTGTAAGGTTTCCAAATTCTAGAGGAATGGTTCCATGAAGCCGGTTGTTGGAAAGGTCAAGGTAGTTTAATTTGGTCAAAGAACCGATAGACTCGGGGATGGTTCCATTAAAAGAATTGTAACCGAGATTAAGGTATGTTAGCTGAGTCATGGAACCAATGAAGTTGGGAATTGTTCCATGAAAATCATTATCCTCAAGGTCAAGATACCTTAACTGAGTCATGGAACCAATGAAGTTGGGAATGGTTCCATTGATGACATTGAAGGAAAGGTCAAGATGATTCAAGTAGCTTAAGTTAAGCAATGAATTGCTAATCTGACCTCGTAAACCTCCAAGACTGCCTGTAAGAGGAACTCCAAAAGAAGCATATGTCATTTGAAGCTTTGTGACATGGCCTGTTTGGTTGTTGCAGGTGACTCCACTCCATTTACAGCAATCATCATCTTCAGGTCTCCATGTAGAGAGTTGGCCAAAGGGGTCTTCAAGGGAAGCTTTGAAATCTAGGAGAGCTTGTTTCTCCTTGTTGATGGCACCATTAGCATATATGACAAGTGAGAAAATAACAAAAACGAAATGGATGGTGTGAAGGGATGTGTTGGTGATCATGGTTGATCTGCTTTTTTGTGATATAATCTTTTGTATTCATAATAGAATCATAAAGTGATGAAGATATATATATATATATATATATATCCACAAATTGGACGTCAATAGGCTGCAAGTCTTGGTCTTATTTTGTACTCATGCAGGTATTTTACATCCTACGACTCTTTTACTTGAATTATGTAATATAAAAATAAATATAAGATGTAATTTTTTAGTTTGTAATCGGGAAAAATTCAAAAAAACTCAACAAATTATTTCATTTTGAATTATTAAGTCTTTGAAAAACCATTAAAGTTTCTCATTTTAAATAATTTTTTGAATGGAAAAATTTGGTTACCTGCATTTTTTAATAAAAAAAAGCTACTTGTAACCGATTAGGAAGGTTTTTAAAGTAAAAAACAAAACTTGAATCAGTTTTACCATTTCTAAACCCTATGCCTTAGAAACCTCTTGCAAACAATGGTTTTGCTCCTCCTTGCCACTCTCGTTTGTTCCATCATTGTCCATTTTCCATGTCTATTATGTTATTGGCTCTTGCCATCGATCTTTCTCTTTTTGATTGGTTAAAGGTAGTTTTTTATTATTAAAGGGATGTAGGTAACTAATTTTAAAAGTTCGATAGTTTATTTATTAAAAAAATGTTCATGACCTTATTCATTTAAAATGAGCGAGCTTAATTTTTTTTTCTCATTAAAAGAAAAAATAGTTCATAGACTTAATTTTTCAAAATGAGAAAGTTGAATGGTTCTTTAATTCAAAAAAATAGTTTAAGGACTTATTAATTTAAAATAAGATAGTTTGTTGGGTTTTTTTGAATTTTTTCTTAAATTTTATGTTGATGTTTAACAATATTCAAAAGGCATGTCATGTCGTGGTATGATGTAAGATGTGTCTCCGTCACTAGAATAAGGCCTGTAGCGTTTTTGTAAGTCGTGACTCATGTCATGTGGTGTGCATTTCTTACAAGACGCGCCTTTTTTCAATTTTTTTATCTTATGTGTTTTTACATTTCCAAACTTTATGTTTTACATCTTTATGGATTTATTTAATCATCCCACTCACACTTTCACGAATTCATACACATTATAAACTAAGATTAAAATAAAATATAAAATTATCCTTCTATGTTTTATTTTAAATATTTAATCAGAAATTATATTTTATAATAATATTTTATATATTTGATCGTGACTGTTACGAGCTGAATTTCCATGGAAATTGCGAGGAAAGAAATAAATGGCGTCAAATAAGACTCAGAAGTCTTGTTGGATTTGGACTTCTTATACAATAAAAATTTGAAAAAGAAACTTATGGACTCAAATGAAGTGAAAATTGATAACGTGATATAACCGGCAAATAATATATATGGGTTTAAAAGAATCATGTCAACGTCTTATAACTTTAAATCGGTTTCTTTCTTGTACCTTTTATTTTAAGAAAGAGTCTAAAAAAATCTAATGAACTTTAATGTTTAATATGATTAGCTCTTTGAACAATTTTTTGGAACAAATAAGTCACTAGACATTTTAAAACTTGTTAAATAACATCTTGAACTTTCTAAAATCTATTATATATATTCTTATAACCTATAAAACTGATTAATGTGATAGAATAATGAAAAAAGTCTGGAAAAAAGCTAATAGACTCTCATATTTTGAACGATTAAGTTTTTAAACATTTTTTGAACAAAAAAGTACTTACATCTATAAAATGAAATAAATATAACAAAAAATTACTTATATTTACAAAAAAGTACTTGCATTTAAAAAAAATTATTAACGAAATTTATTTTAATTAAAAATAAAAATTATCCTATCAGTGATTTTTCAAATAAAAAAAAAATAAAAAAAGATTGTTGATTAAGTTTACTTTAATTAAAAATAAAATATATTCCGTATATGATTTCTCAAATTTAAAAAAAATAATTTAAAAAAAAAAAAGATTACTGATGAAGTTTATTTTAATTAATGTATTACTTATATTTAATGATAGCTAATTTAACTGCCGTCAGACGCTCTAACACAGTAACATGTTAATAAGTGTGAAAAATCGTGCTTGAATCTTGTCGGTGACATCATTTCGTCGATGAATTAGCGACAAATTTTAATTAATTATGTATGTAGTTAAATTTTATCGTTAATTCGTCAGTAATTTAATTAAATTATTATTTTTAATTTAAAAAATAATCAACGGAATATATTTTATTTTTAATTAAATTAAATTTCATCAGTATTCCTT